TTGCAGTCCTGCCTCATCCTCGTCCGATTTAATTCTTCTCATCAACTTCACGTCATCTGCGAATAGGGGCACTTCAGAGTCTATTCCTTCCACATGTCGTTCACATATATCAAAAATAGCACTGGTCCTAGAACTGACCCCTGTGGGACCCCGCTCGTAACAGGCGCCCACTGTGATACCTCTTCACGTACCATGACTCGTTGCTCCCTCCCTGTCGGGTATTCTTTTTCCATTGCAGTGCCCTCCCTTTTACATCGCCTGATCCTCCAGCTTCTGCACTAATCTCCTTTGTGGGGAACTGTGTAAAAGGGCCTTCCTGCAGTCTAGGAAAAGCAATCACCCACCCCCTCTCTCGTGCCCTTACTTCTGTTCCTTTGTCATAAAACTCCAGGAGGCTTGTGAACAAATTTGCCTTCCATGAACCCATGCTGGTTTCTTTTATAATCTTTTTCCTTTTCCGGGTGTTCACCACTCTCCTCCTGATAATTTTCTCCATGACTTTGCACACAATACATGTCAGGACGGGTCTGTAGTTTAGTGCCTCTTTTCTGTTTCCTTTTTTAAATAGGGGACTAATTAGCTGTCTTCCATTCTCAGGATTCCCCCAGTTTCAAGGGATTTTAAGATTGTGGTTAAGGCATGCACACTCTCTGCTCCTTCTCTAAGGGACCCATGGGGAGATGTTGTCCAGTCCCCTCGCCTTTGAGGTGTCAAATCCCCCTTTAAAACTTCTTCACCTCCCCTCAGTTTTTTCGTAGTCATCCCAAAACTTGTTGGGATATTCCCCTTGATGTTCCCCTTTTGTGCTGTCTTCCCACACCCTTCCGTTCACTGTAAAAACTTCCTTAAATTCCTGTTCACTCCCAATACCTCCTATCATTTTTTTGTGAGTTTTTTCCACCTTCTGTCCTTAACTGACACCTGTCTTTGTGTTGTCCTTTCCCCCTGATTGGCTATACAACATTTCGGGTCAGTTTGATTCTCATGCTTGTCATTTTCAACTGCGCTGGGCCTCCCTCCTTACCTGTGCGTAATCATTCCAGGCTCTGCGACTGATCTCCCTATTTTCGTGTGTTCTCTGCCTTCTGTACTTTTTCCATTCTCTATTGCACTTTGTTTTTGCCTCCTTACACTGTCGGGTGTATGTGTGTGTGTGTGTGTGTGTGTGTGTGTACTCACCTATTTGTACTCACCTATTTGTGGTTGCAGGGGTCGAGTCTTAGCTCCTGGCCCCGCCTCTTCACCGGTTGCTACTGGGCCCTCTCTCTCCCTGCTCCATGAGCTTTATCAAACCTCGTCTTAAAAGTGTGTATGGTTCCTGCCTCCACTACGTCATTTTCTAGGCTATTCCACTGCCTTACAACTCTATGACTGAAGAAATACTTCCTAATATCTCTCTGACTCATTTGTGTCTTCAACTTCCAATTGTGGCCTCTTGTTTCTGTGTCCCCTCCCTGGAACATCCTGTCTTTGTCCACCTTGTCTATTCCACGCAGTATTTTATATGTCGTTATCATGTCTCCTCTGACCCTCCTGTCCTCCAGTGTCGTCAGGCCGATTTCCCTTAATCTTTCTTCATAGGACATTCCCCTTAGCTCTGGAACTAACCTTGTCGCAAACCTTTGTACTTTCTCTAGTTTCTTGACGTGCTTTATCAAGTGCGGGTTCCAAACAGGTGCTGCATACTCCAGTATGGGCCTGACATACACGGTGTACAGTGTCTTGAATGATTCCTTACTAAGGTATCGGAATGCTGTTCTCAGGTTTGCCAGGCGCCCATATGCTGCAGCAGTTATCTGATTGATGTGTGCTTCCGGACACATGCTCGGTGTTATACTCACCCCAAGATCTTTCTCCTTGAGTGAGGTTTGCAGCCTTTGGCCACCTAGCCTATACTCTGTCTGTGGTCTTCTGTGCCCTTCCCCTATCTTCATGACTTTGCATTTGGCAGGATTAAATTCGAGAAGCCATTTGCTGGACCAGGTGTCCAGTCTGTCCAAGTCTCTTTGAAGTCCTGCCTGGTCCTCATCAGATTTAATTCTCCTCATTAACTTCACATCATCTGCGAACAGGGACACTTCTGAGTCTAATAACCCTTCCATCATGTCGTTCACATATACCAAAAATAGCACTGGTCCTAGGACCGACCCCTGTGGGACCCCGCTCGTCACAGGTGCCCACTGTGATACATCATTACTACCATGACTCGTTGTTGCCTCCCTGTCAGGTATTCTCTGATCCATTTCAGTGCCCTTCCTGTTATATGCGCCTGATGCTCTAGCTTCTGCACTAATCTCTTGTGGGGAAAACTGTGTCAAAGGCCTTCTTGCAGTCCAAGAAGATGCAATCAACCCACCCCTCTCTCTCGTGTCTTACTTCTGTTATTTTATCATAAAACTCCAGAAGGTTTGGGGACACAGGATTTGCCTTCCTTGAATCCGTGCTGGTTGGCATTTATACTCTTGTTCCGTTCCAGGTGCTCCACCACTCTCCTCCTGATAATTTTTCTCCATAATTTTGCATACTATACACGTCAATGACACAGGTCTATAGTTTAGTGCCTCTTTTCTGTCTCCTTTTTTAAAAATGGGAACTACATTTGCCGTCTTCCATACCTCAGGTAGTTGCCCAGTTTCCAGGGACGTGTTGAAGATTGTGGTAAGTGGCACGCACAACATATCTGCTCCCTCTCTAAGGACCCACGGGGAGATGTTATCCGGTCCCATTGCCTTTGAGGTATCGATGTCCCTTAGCAGTTTCTTCACCTCCTCCTCATCTGTATGTATGTCGTCCAACACTTGTTGGTGTATTCCTTGCTGGTGTCCCCATCTGGTCTGTCTCTCAGTAGTAGTAACCAGTTACCAGTAACCAGTGTACCAGTAGATGACTCACTAACTACTACCAACCGTCTCTGCCTGAGTCACTGTCTGTATTCATATTGTGCTGACCACAGCAGTATTCAAAGACCCCCTCACATATGGGTACTGTGGGCAGTCAGTTATACGAGAGTGAGCAAGGAGGCAAGGTTACGGCTGTTTGGGCGCTCCCCACATTATCCGTAATTATACGTACATCCAGCCTACGTGAGTATTACTTTACCCTATCCACGTGTTCGAATCCCACATGATATGTCCCTGTGTGTGTGTGTGTGTGTGTGTGTGTGTGTGTGTGTGTGTGTTTGTGTGTGTGTGTGTGTGACTCAACAATAAATATTTGCACCAATAACTCACTACAGTTGTGACCGGGTGTGGAAGTGTGAATTGCTCATTATACTATAATTTGTTCATGATTGTAGCCATGTATAAACGTAAGTAACCATTCTACAGAATTCATTACCTTTGTAACTTGTGAGCTCATTACCTTTGTACCTAGTTCAGCTATCAAAACTTTGGGGGCCCAGTCCCTGGCCCCATTACGTACCTCTGTAATCTGTAAATACCTTTGTAACTTGTCATGATTGTGACCAGACCTACCTGGAGTTCATTACCTTTGTAAGATAAGATAAGATAAGATTTCGTTCGGATTTTTAACCCCGGAGGGTTAGCCACCCAGGATAACCCAAGAAAGTCAGTGCGTCATCGAGGACTGTCTAACTTATTTCCATTGGGGTCCTTAATCTTGTCCCCCAGGATGCGACCCACACCAGTCGACTAACACCCAGGTACCTATTTGCTGCTAGGTGAACAGGACAATAGGTGTAAGGAAACGTGTCGGAATTTCCACCCGCCGGGAATCGAACCCGGGCCCTCCGTGTGTGAAGCGGGAGCTTTAGCCACCAGACCACCGGGTAATGAGTTCATTACCTTTGTAAATTGTGAGTTCATTACCTTTGTAAATTGTGAGTTCATTACCTCTGTAACTTGCTCAGCTATCAAAACTTTGGAGTCCAGTCCCTGGACCAATTATGTACCTCTGTAATCTTTTGACTACCGCCCATAGGATGGGTATGGGGTGCATAATAAACATATTAAACTAACTAACTAACGGTAGTACATGAAAATAGTGAATTGAATCATGTCAAGTTAGCAGAACAGGACGTGTAGTACTGAAAATATAACCAGTTTCACATTCATTGTATATATGTTGGTTACGACGTTGAAGAGATCATAAGTGAAGTATAACAGGAAAAAAAGTTTGGTTGTGAAAAGTAACTAGGATGCTGAAACGATGGAGTGTGTAGTTAGTGAACAACAGACTTTTATGAGGGTAAATGCTAAATAGGAATAATTACACCATATACAAAGTATTCACAGTTGTGAGGCGTGAACTAATGAACCAGCAGCACTGAAACACCTACATTTAGAGTACGTTCTGTGATAGTAGCCTAGGCCATTGTAGAATATACCATGGTCTTTTGCAAAATATACCCTTGGATGTTGTACAGTGTTCAACATTAAGTTGTGAATTAATGAACAGTAACTCAGCCTCCTGTGTAGTGATAACTATATGTGATATGTCTAAATTTATTTTCTAATAAATGTTCACCATATTTTTACGCACACAGCTCGTACATTATAAAGTTGAATACAAGCAAGAATTGTCATAGATGACTAAATGTTTATATAGACAGTAACTCACTTTATTTGATGCCAGCTCCAGTATATTGAGAGATTAGAACTCTTCTCAGTGATAATAAGGCCTTAAACTCAAATATCAAGTTGATGTTAAAAAATAACCCAAATTTTATTTAATTTTTTTTTCAAAATGCAAACTTACTAAAACATTGTGGTAGGGCCTATTATTCATAAATTTAAAAAGATGGAAAAATTCTTATCACAATTAGTAGTTACAATATCTTCTCTATTACCCCCCCCCCCCAAAAAAAAATCTGTTGAACTTGTGAGCAAATTAAAATGCAGCGTTTCACATAATATGTTCATCTGTTTCCAGCTGAAGAGATCATGTGACATAGTGCAGTAACTAATCCTGAATCAGTCTACATTAATAGTTTTACAAGCACACTTTTGCTTTATTATAAAATTATCAAGAAAATACTACACCTTAAAGATAGAGTCCTGGAAGATCTGCCACTCGTCTCCCTCCACGTCCATCTTCAGAAGTTGCAGGTTAGCTCTGTAATGTTGTAGTATGAACATAATGTTGTCTAGCGGCCTGTACAGGTACAGGAAGGTTGAGTTCTTTAACTTGTTGATCTCCGTGAAGAAAACTACTGAGTGACCAAGGCGAATGTGAATGAAATGCACCCTGATAAAGGAATAAAAAAGTTGTTGGTGGAGTTCGGCCTTCAACTGCTTCACTGATATTAGCATTGTTTTCATGTATATTCATATCGAAGCGCCAAACTTGTAGGGGACGTACAGTGTCTGGGGAATGGAAGGTGATTAAGTTTGATCCAAGGGAGGGTGTAGTGTTATATCCTAGATCAAGAGTCCTTCACTGACTTTAGGACACTCCTCTAAGGGATGGAATTTACAACAGTTCCTGAATGCCTTGCAGAAAACTGTATATGCCAAAAGCTCCAGCTGAGGGTCATCATCCCCTCAAGGAAGGTTCCTTGATGTTGGTGAGGGGCTCTTGATTTAGGGAATTGGATCGGTGCTCCAGATCCCCGAATTAAGCCTGAATGCCTTCCACATCCCCCCCCCAGGCGCTGTATAATCCTCCGGGTTTAATGCTTCCCCCTTGATTATCATAATAATAATGAGGGTCATCATATGACTAAGACCTGCGTCAGGAAACACTTTTCCTGTTTCCTGACATACCTACCTAACCTAACCTATCCGCAAAATGTTTTAAATTTTATAAAAGTATGAAAAATAATTTTGTATTTTTCATACTTTCATTTATCTACTTACACATATAAATAAATATATTTATAGATGGGGTTGTAAGAGAAGTAAATGCGAGGGTCTTGGCAAGAGGCGTGGAGTTAAAAGATAAAGAATCACACATAAAGTGGGAGTTGTCACAGCTGCTCTTTGCTGATGACACTGTGCTCTTGGGAGATTCTGAAGAGAAGTTGCAGAGATTGGTGGATGAAGTTGGTAGTGTGTGCAAAAGAAGAAAATTAAAAGTGAATACAGGAAAGAGTAAGGTTATGAGGATAACAAAAAGATTAGGTGATGAAAGATTGGATATCAGATTGGAGGGAGAGAGTATGGAGGAGGTGAATGTATTCAGATATTTGGGAGTGGACGTGTCAGCGGATGGGTCTATGAAAGATGAGGTGAATCATAGAATTGATGAGGGGAAAGGGTGAGTGGTGCACTTAGGAGTCTGTGGAGACAAAGAACTTTGTCCTTGCAGGCAAAGAGGGGAATGTATGAGAGTATAGTTTTACCAACGCTCTTATATGGGTGTGAAGCATGGGTGATGAATGTTGCAGAGAGGAGAAGGCTGGAGGCAGTGGAGATGTCATGTCTGAGGGCAATGTGTGGTGTGAATATAATGCAGAGAATTTGTAGTTTGGAAGTTAGGAGGGGGTGCGGGATTACCAAAACTGTTGTCCAGAGGGCTGAGGAAGGGTTGTTGAGGTGGTTCGGACATGTAGAGAGAATGGAGCGAGGGTGACTTCAAGAGTGTATCAGTCTGTAGTGGAAGGTAGGCGTGGTAGGGGTCGGCCTAGGAAAGGTTGGAGGGAGGGGGTAAAGGAGGTTTTGTGTGCGAGGGGCTTGGACTTCCAGCAGGCATGCGTGAGCGTGTTTGATAGGAGTGAATGGAGACAAATGGTTTTTAATACTTGACGTGCTGTTGGAGTGTGAGCAAAGTAACATTTATGAAGGGGTTCAGGGAAACCGGCAGGCCGGACTTGAGTCCTGGAGATGGGAAGTACAGTGCCTGCACTCTGAAGGAGGGGTGTTAATGTTGCAGTTTAAAAACTGTAGTGTAAAGCACCCTTCTGGCAAGACAGTGATGGAGTGAATGATGGTGAAAGTTTTTCTTTTTCGGGCCACCCTGCCTTGGTGGGAATCGGCCAGTGTGATAATAAAAAAAAAAAAAATTGTGTAGTGAAGTTTTCGTAGATTCGTTTACCTGGGCATTATATTATTGATGTACATGTTGTGATAATCATCGTCGTCGAAGGCAAATACTTCACATCCAAATTCTCCCATGGATTTGTCTAGGCTAAAGTCGTGGCCGATACCGAAGGAGTACACAAGACATGAAGATCTAGACAGGGCCACCGACTCGTCCAAACACACCTTCCTAAAATAGTTGAAGTATTATTATATTCAACAAGTGCTGAGCCTGTAGGAGTCATACGAGATGCTCTAATTTCTCGAATCAAAATTCCTTCACCAGCATCCAAAAACTCTCTCTGAAGGGATAGTTGAAAATTTTCTTTAGTCTTTCCTCATAAGTATCGCTACAATTATATATACAGGTGCAAAAAAATGCCCGGGTTAAAATTATGGCAGGCCAATGTGAACTTGTTTTAGTTCAAATTTATCTAATAACCTAACGATCAACTTTTTCTAGTAACCCTATTGAGTTGACGTAGCCTGTGGTTTGTGAATTATTATCATTGGAGGGGGGTGGGAATGGAAAGCATTCAGTTTTAATTCAGGGAATTCAAAGTTTATTCTCTATAAAGATTACAATGTTGAATTTACAGAATTTGGTATTGTGGTTTACATGTAGTTAAATAATGATTACAGAGTGTACCACTAGAACGCCTAGCATGGCTAGGTATTTCGGGCAGACTAATTCTTTATTTTAAAATATTACAAATTATGAGGTAAGTTGGTATTATGGCTAAGTGACTAAATACTAGTTTGTGAGTTTAGCAATGTGAATGCTTTTGTTTTGGCACCAAATAATAGTTTCAGTATTAGAGTATCATAGGATTCATTATTTTAAGATTGAGATTAATATTTTGTTTATGGTCAAATGGGTGAGTGAGTGTAAGTGTGAACCACTAGGTGGTATTCGTGGAGTTAGTTGATAGGGTGTACAGGGAGATAAGATGTTTTCTAATGTTTGTTTTAAAGGTGATAATTTTTCTGCAGTTCTAGAGTTTCAGGTAGGATGTTCCAGATTTTAGGGCCTTTGACATACAAATTTAAATTTTTTTAACGGTTTAGTCGGACACAGGGAATGTCGTAGAGATGTTTTTTGTCTGGTGTTATGCCCGTGGGTTCTGTCACAACTATCAAGAAAGCGTTTTAGGTCAGGTTGATATTGGAGTTTAAGGTCCTGTAGATGTAGATTGCACAGTAGTAAGTGTGGATGTACTGAACAGGGAGTAAGTTTAGATCTATGAAGAGTGGGGGGGGTGTTTTCCAGGGATGGGATTTAGTGATTATTCTTATTGCAGCTTTTTGTTGGGTTATTATTGGCTTTAGGTGTGTTGCTGCAGTTTTATCCCAAGCACCCAAATAGCATAGGTGAGGTATGGTAAATAAGTGATGGGAATGTGAGAAGGGGATTTTGGGTAATAAAAAACCTGTGGTTTTTTATTTAATCTTGGGGGTAAAGGAAACCTTTTTTTAAAAATTTTGGGGAATTTTAAAAGGTTTTTTTTCCCTTAAAAAATTTAAAAATTTGGGCGGGGTTTGGTTTTTGGTTTTTCTTTTAAAAAATAATTTTAAGGTTCCCTCCCTGGGGAAAGGGGGGAAGTTTTTATTTAAAAAATTTTATGGAAGCAATGGTAATTTGAAAAATTGGTTTATTTTGGTTTAATCTTTTTTTTGGGCCCCAAACCTTTTATGTATTGGGGGTTCCCCTTGGTTTCTTTTTTTAAGTTTGGGAATTATTTCTTTTTAGGGAAAAAAGGGGTAATGAAATAATGGAAAAATAGGGGTTTCGGGGAAAAGGGAAAGGGGACAAAAAGTTTTTTCCTAAGTTTTTAAATTTTAATTTTTGACTTTTAATCTCGGTGGTTTTTTCCAAAAGGGCCTTTTGAAATAAAAAAATTTTTGGGGTTTTCCCCAAAAATTCTGGGAAAATTTTTGGCTGGGTTTTTGGGGGGCCAAATTGGGAAATTTTATTGGGGGGAGATTAGTTTCCAATGGTTGAGAAAAGGGTTGTTTATTTTGGGAAAGGGGGGGTTTTAAAAGGGGGGGTTTTAGGGGGTTTTCATTGGGGTTTTTGTTAAAAAATTTTTATTCTTTTTTTTTCATTTGGGGCCCCCAAGAAAATCTAGGGGGGTTTTAAAAAAAGGTTTTTTTTTTTCCTTAGTTCGTAATCTTGAGAGTAAGTTTTGGTTTTTTTTATTAGGTTGGGGCTGAAAAAAAAGGTTTTTGTTTAAGAAAATTTTGTTTTAACCCCCGGGTTTAATGTTTGCTTTTTTTTTGGTGTTTCCCTTTAAAAAATTTTTAATTGTGGTTTTTGCCAGGGGAACCGTTTTTTTTTGGATGTTTCGTTTTTTATAGGAAAAATTTTTTTGTTGATACAAGAATTTTTGAGAAAAATGGTCTGCCCGTCAAAAAAAATTTGGGGTTGGGGAAAAATTTGGGGGTCAGGTTCCAAAAAACCATTAATTTAAAATTGTGAATTTAAATTAGGCCTCTTTCATAAAATAAAATTTTAACCTTTGTTGTTTTCAATGGGGGTTTACTAATTTTGGTGGGAAAAGGAAAAAAAAGGATGGTCTTTAAAAGGTCCTTTTTTGTATTTTTTCCCTTCCCCCTTTTGGTTAAAAGGAGGGCAAAAAAAATTTCCAAAAGGGGTTTCCTTTTTTTAAGGGTTTAAAAAGCAAGAAGCTTTTTTGGTTTATTTTTTTAATTTTTGGTAAATTGGAAGGGTTTTTGGAAATTTTTGTTGATAAATAATTTAAAGTTCCTGTTCCCAGTTTCTAAGTTTGGAAAGAATGGTGTTTTTTTGGGCCTTGTTTTTTTAATTAGGGCCCCCTTTAAATTTTTCCCTTCCACAAAAATTTTTTTGGGAATGTTTTTTGTGGGAAATGGAAATAGCACCAAAAAAAGGATAGGGCCCCCTTTTTTTTTTAAACAGAAAAATTGGGCAAAAATGTTTTCCCCCAATTTTTTCAATATTTTAAACCGGTGCTTCCGGGGAAAAAATTGGGTTAAAAGGAATTTTGGGAATTCCCATTACCCCCAACTTGTTTGGGGGTTTTTGGCAGTTGTGAATTTAAAGGGTTTTTCCTTTTTAGGGTAATAATTAGGGGTTTTTTCTTAAACCTTTTTGAGAAAAAAATTTTTTTTTTGGGGCCCAGGAGAAGGTTTTTTTTGGGTTTTTTTTTTCCCCCAAGGGTGCCCGGAGGTATATTTTTGTTTCTTTAAGGGAAACCTGATGTTGGTTTTTTAAGAAAAATTTTGGAAAAAACCCTTTAGCTTTTTGATATTGGGTTGTTTCTTGTAATAAAAGGGCGGTTTACCTTTCCAAAAGGTTTTAAATTGGGGTTCTTTTTTAGGGAAAATTTTTTTGGATGGGTCAAGTTTTTTAAAAAATTCGTGGGTTAAAATTTTGGGTTTTTTATATCCGGGGTTGTGTGTTTAATTGGGGTTCTAATTTAATGATTTTTGAAAAGTGGGGGAAAGTTTTGGAAAAAATTATGGCTGAGTTTTTGGGTGATATATTTTTAAAAGGAAGGGCTATAACCAAAATTGAATTTAGGGTTTTCTATGTTTGGGTTGGCGGGAAAAAAATGGTACAAAGGGTTTTTTTCTATTTTATAAAAATTACAAATTTAAAAATTTTAAAACAAGCTCCATTTGGAAATTGCCTTAATTCTTTTTGGTTTTGGGGATTCAATTTTTACTAAAAAGGGGAGGCTATAGGTAAAATAGATTTTAATTCCTTTTTTTTTAAAAAAAAATTAAAAAAGAACCCCAAATCTCACTAAAAGCAAAGGGGTCAATAAAAGAAATTGGATTGAAAATGTTTTGGGCAAATAAAAACCCCCAATTTGGTTTTCTAATTGGGACCCCTTTGAAATTCCAAAGGGGGTAATTTTAAAATTTGTTTTAAAAAAATTTTAGAGAATAAAATTTAAAATTTGCAAGTGAAAAACCCAAAGGGGGTTAAGGGTTTTTGAAAAGGGAATAAAAAAAAAATGATAAAAATTTTTAAAAAATGCGGGTTTGGGACCCGGAATAAAAATTCCCCAATATTTTTGATTTTCCCAGTTAAGGGAAATTTAAAAGGGGAAGGGTTTTTGGTTTTTTTGGGGGGGGGTTTAATATCCCTATTTTTGTTGATTTATACAAATCTTATTGGGGGGAAATTGGTATGTAAAGTGGGGAAAAATTAATTAGTCATCAAATTGTATTAAAGGCAGTTTTCTGAAGGGAACAAAAGTTGGTAAAATGGAAAAAATTTTAAAAAAAAAGATTAATTTCCCAAAGGTTTTAAATTTAATAGGGGGATTTTTTTGGTTAGTAAAAAAAGTTTAACTAAAAAAAAAACAAAAAAAAAGCCCCAAAACCTAAGTTTCCCACTATTCAAATTAAATTTTTTGGTTTTTGACCTTTTGTCCCGGGAATTAAAAATTTAAAAAAGGAACGTTTGTTTCCAAGGGCAATATGGTTACGTTGGGTTAACTTTGTTTCAAATAAAAAAAAATTAAGAGAAAAGAAAAAAAAAAAAAATTTAAAAAAGTTTTAAAAGGAATTCGAGACCCTTTCCAATTCCCCAGTCTGGCCTACAACTTAAGGGCCTTCCCAAAAAGGGTTTTGTTTACCCCCCTTTTTGGCCCAAAAAACCCTTACCACCTGGGATTTTGGATTTTCCCCGGGGCCAGTAATTTTAAAAAACGTTTGGCCTACATTGTTTGGAAATTTTCGGGTTTTGCCAACGGAAACTGGACCAAAATTTTTTGAAGATTTTTTCCTTTTGTTTTTTGGTGTTTTTTTAAAAAACGCTTTATTTAAAACAATTCTTCCAAAACTCCCTCCCATTGGGGTTTGGTTATGGAGTAGGCGAAAAATTGGGGCCCAAGACCCCCAACATCTTTTCGAAATTATTGTGCCCCCTTTTTTGTTTAGAAGTAATTTTTATTTTAAGACCAAGGTTTCCCAGAATTTTTATCCTTATTGGCCCCTTTGGGCCCAAAAATGACTTGTTCCGGTTAAACCAGGGGGTTTTTTCCCCCCCCCTGGAAATAAAAAGGGGTTAAAAAAATTCCCCGGGCAAAATTTCCCCAATTTTAAAAACCCAAAACTTTAACTTTTTTCCCAAATTTTTTCTGTTTCGCCCACACGGGGTTTTTCCAAGTAAAACAGCCCCTTACCCGGGGAGGGGCCAGTTTTTATGGGTTTATTTTAAAATTTTTCCATCCCTATATTGTAGGGAGTTGGGTTGGGAAAACAAAAACTTTATTTGAAAGAGCCCCCTTGGACAAGTTTTTAAACCTTTTTCCCAAAATTTTTTGTTCCTTATTGGTAACCCGGTTAAAAAGTTTTTTGGAATGGGTTCAGTTTTTAGGGTTTAAAAAAACCACACAATGCCATATAAAAAAAATGATTATTTGGACCCTTTATTGGGTTTGCCCCAAAGTTTTTTAATTTTCCAAACAAATTGGGGTGGAAAACGGGTTTTTTAAACCGGTTTTTGGGTCGGTAAAAATTGTTTGCTTTTGGGTGATTGTCCCGGGGGGGGAGGCCCCTTTTGGGGGTGTTGGGGGAAAGTAAATTTTTGGCGGGCCTTCAAGGTTTTTAGGGGGAAGGAGGGAAAAAGCTTGGCCGGGGTTTACTATTTTATGGCCCTTATTCGGGGTTTGGGGTTGGGAAAAGGTAGATAACTTGGAAGGGGTTGTTTGGGGCCCAAAGTTTTGGCTTTTTTTAAAAAGGGTTTGGGTGGGAAACTTTGTAACCCCGGCCCCATTTTTTTCCCCCTGGGTTTTGGTGTTTGAAATGTTTTAGGTCCCCGTTTTCCCCCCTTTTTTCAGTAATTACGGGGAAATTAGGGGTTTTTGGGAAAATACCTTTGTCCTTATAGGTGTTTCCTTTTAAGGCTGGTTGTGGGGGAATTTTTAAAATTTTTTGGCAAAATTTAAACTGTTTCAAGGGTTTTTGGGAAGGACTATGAAAACCCTGGGAATGTTTCCGGTGTGTTAAGATTTTAAGGCCCTCGGGCCCTGATTTTCGATGGGCCCGGGATGGGGGAGGGGAAAAAACCCGGGAAAAGTTTCTCCCAAGGGGGGAAAAATTCCCGAGGGGATAAACCAAAACGGCCGGGGGGAAAGGAAGAAATTTTTAAAAACGGGATTTTCCAAAATTCCCTGGGGCCCCACCATAGGGGGGGGGGGGGGGGATAAAACTTTAAAACACCCCCAAAAGGCCTGGGGGTTGGGGGGGGGGGCCTTAAACCTCCTTTGGGCCAAACATGTTTTTCCAACATTTTTCCCAAAACACTTTCCCAAAAGTATCTCCCTCCAAAACACGACCATAAAGGGACATCACCATAGTAGGCAGGAAAAGCCTCCATCCCTGCAGGGTATACTTTAACCCCCTTGAAATGACGCAACAAGTTATACGGGGGCGAAACATAAAGGGACCTCCAAACACGATTCAGAACCCCAATACGAAAAGCAGGTCTGACGACCCCAAGGAATCCTGCGTACAACACCGTAATTCAAAAACAACCACTTGAAAAACTACAGAAACTCAAGATTTATCGCCACAGAAGACAACACCCAATACCGAAGAATCCGGGAATCATCATTTTATTTTTCATATCCGACAACTTAAAACCAGAATAGGGGCTTCTATAACATAGCTGAACCACTTCCCGGGGGAAAACCTTCTTCATCGCTATCCCCCCTAAAAACACTGTAAAAAGGGTCTGCTCACAAACTTGCCCCATCCCCTTTTCCCAAAGCTACCCAAGTTTTTTTAGACCTAAAACCCAACTGGGAATCATCAGATGCAGCTTTCCCTTCACCTCCCTTTCACCCCGGACAAAAATTTACCGCTTTCCCTTTCCCACCCCAGGTATTTTCTTTTTGTGACTTAAAAAGCCCCCTGTGGGGGGGCAAAAACGTAGTCAAAAAAAGGAATCACATTATACCCCTTTGTTTTTAATATTGTCTTTCCTGCCCTGTAAAGAGCCTCGATACTAAACCCAATACTCAAAGCGAGAGAATAAAATGATCTGAAAAGTATTGCCTTTGGGGACTTTTTCCCTAGTCTTGAGAATTCTCATTATCAGAAAACAAAAATAGGAAAATCCCGTGACGGGAACGATACGCAAAAAAATCCGCACAAGAAGAGAGGAGTTACAAACGACTTTTTGGTCCAAATTTGGCCCCTTTTAGCCCACTGTAAATGGTCCAAGTGGGACCGAAACGTCGTCGCAAGCGCCTCTTTCTATGTGGGGGTTTGTGAAATCCACCCTATAAATTTTCCCCTTTATGCAAAGGACCCTATGTTCACACTCTTAAAGGCTTCTGGGGCCTTTTAAAGATGAGAAAACAACTTTATTAAAAATAATAATAAAAATAATAATTTTAAATTTAAAAAGAATAAACCCACAAACTTAAATTAAAACTAGACGACGCCCCCCGGCCCTTCGCCCTGGACTATTTAATTATCGGGGCCCCCCCCAACTATTTATAATTTATTTATTTTTTTAAATTTCCCTTTGCAAACGGGAAAACTTTGAAAAGGGGCCGAAACATCGTGTAGCTTTTTTTTCCAATTATTTTTTTTGTAAATTTTTTCCCCAGACACTACTTTTACTTTTTATTCTTAATAATAATAATAATAATAAAAATAAAAATTAATAAAAATTTAATAAAAATAATAATAAAAAATAATGAATATACATTACTGGTAGAAGCAGAATTAAAATCAAAACAAAGTAAAAAACCCCAAATAATATAATAATAAAAATAATAATATATATTCTTACTTGCCCTCCATCTGGTATCCTCTGGCAAGTTCTTCCCCCGGGTTTGAGAAGTTTTTTACCTTGAAAGGGTTGGTTGGTACCCCTTTTTTACCAAATTCGAAAAAAAGAGTTTTTTTGCTGGGGGTTGTAGTGGTTTTGGGAAAGGTAACAGCAAGGGTAACAAAAGGGAAACGGGTTCTGGTAACAGGGGCTTTTTACGGGGTTTTAGATTTTTGTTAAGGGTATTTATTTTTCCCCTAAGATAGGGTTTTTGGGTGTTTAGTCCAAGTAATGATGGTATTATGTTACACTTTTGTTGATGGTACGGGTAGGAAGAGGGGGGGGCCAGGGTAAGTTTTTGGCTCTGTATTTTTCCGGGTACTGTTTCTTTCCTGTCGATAGTATTTTTTTGAGACAATAATTTACTAAAAAAAACTTTGGAACAATGAAATCACAAGAAATATAGCTTGGGCACCCTAAAAATGAAAAATTTTTGGGAAATTTGTAATTCTAATATTTTTTTAAATCTTTATTTGGGGTTTTGGCGATTTTTTTTGACACACACCCCGGAAAGGGGACCCAGTAGAAAACCAGTGAAGAGGTGGGGCCGGAGCCATGACTCAAACCCCCTGCAACCACAAATGGGTAAATACACACCACACACACAAACCAAATTCAATCCTGCCAAATGCAAAGTAAAGAAGTTTGGGGGGGAAAAAGAAGACCCCCGGCCCAGAGTATAGCTAGGGGGACAAAAAACTACAGACCTCACCGGGGAAAAGACCTTGGGGTGACCAAAAAACCGGGCACATCACCGGGCCCCACATCAACCAAATAACTGCTGCACATACGGGCGCCGGGCCCAAACCTGAGAATAGCGTTCCGAAAACCTTAAAAAGGGGTTCGTTAAAGAAAACTGTTACACTGTATATGTTAGGCCCATACTGGAGTATGCAGCACCAATCGGAACCCCACCTGGTCAAGCACGTAAAGGGAAGTTAGAGAAAGTAAAAGGGTTTTGCAAAAAGGCTACCCCAAGCCAGGGGAATGTCGTACAGGAAAGGTTGGGGGGAAAAACGGACTGATGACACGGAAAGGACAGAAGGGTCAGGGGGGAAATGATTTAAAGACATACAAGAAACGCGGGGGATTTGACCAAAGGGGGAAAAGATAGGATGTTCCAGAGAGGGGAAAAAAAAACAAAAAAACAAGGGGTCACAACCCGGAAACTGAAGACCAGACGATCCCCAGGGAGTTAGGAAGTATTTCCTTTAGCACAGAGTCGTCAAAAAGTGGAAAAGCCCCAGCAAATGAAGTAGTGGAGGGAGGAAACCCTACCCAGTTTTTTAAATTTAGGTATGATAAAGCCAGGAAGCAGAGAGAGAGAGAGAGAGAGAGGGCCTATAGCAAAAAGTGAAGGGCGGGGGCCCGGGGCTGGTCTTTGAACCCTCCCAAAACCCCAATTAGGTAGACAATTAGGGTGAGTACACAAAACACACACAACACACACACCACAATTGAAAGCAAATTTTTAAAAACACAAGAAAGCAATAGGAAAGACACATGACCCAGCTGGAAAAATTTTTGGAGAAAAGGGGGGGTTTTTAAAAAAAAAAAAACCCGGGCCCGTGAAAAATGACCTTTAAAGGGAGAATCGACTTGGAACAGGATCCCCGCAGGAAAAAAAGCACGATTTAAAGGGGCTGCCGACATACAGGAAGGTGTATCTCGACCGCGAAAAGAACACAAGCAAAAGGCAGAAACCTGGGAGAGATGGGGACAAAGGCGAAAGGAAGGGAAAAAGAGGGGATGGGGAAGAGACAGGGATCCCAGACACCCGGAAGATCAAATACAGCCCCCCCTCACAACTTCCTATAGAACCTTTCCCCAAACCCGGTCAACCCCAGTGCAACCAAACCCTCTAAAACCCCAAAAAAAACCCATGCCACATCCCAAAGCCCCCCCCACCGCATTACAAAACTCCACCCCCAAAAAGCACCCACCCATAGTTTTTCCCTTTTCAGTCCCCCCACTTCCCCCCCAAACCCCCCCACCTCCCAGACCACAATTTAAAAAAAGAAGTTTAAGGTGTGGTATACAAATGCAGATGGAAAAACAAATAAGAAAGAGGAGTGGCCCCGAAAAAATCAAAAGGGGACATCCCCCGACATAATGCACTCAAAGAAACAAAAAAAACCAGAATAATAACCCGATTCAGTCTTTCCCCTCCGGATATCAAAAACCTCAGGGAAAAACAAGGGAGGGGGAGGGGGGGGAGGAAATTTTACTGCTCATTAAAACCAGGGGGTTTGAAAAAAATGGAAGGAAAGGGAGGCACGACGAAAAGGGGCTACTTAGTAGGAAAAAACCAGTCGAGGGACATAAGGTATAATTCAGTAATGTACAACCCCCCACAGAACTTTCAGGAGGCCAAAGAAAAATAAAGATGAGAGCAACAGAGCAATGGTTTGACATACTAGCCGAGGTGGCCAGGGGGGCACACATGGGGGGGGAAAAATTACTAGTTTTTGGGGGATTTCAATCACAAGGAGATGAAATGGGAAAACCTGGAGCCCCATGGGGGCCCGAAACATGGAGAGCCAAGATGATGGTGTGATAAAAGGAAAACCCATGCCTCAACTTTTTTAAGACCTACCAAGAGAAGGTGAGGATAACCCCAAGCTGGACCTTGTATTCACCTTGATAGTTCTGACAACGAGGAAAATCAGATGGGAAAGGCCCCCGGGAGCTAGTGATCATGTGGGTTTTGTGCTTCGAAATACATATTGGCCCCCCCAAATGGAGAGAGGGACGGGAATAGGGGGGGAAAAAACCAAAATACCAAAAAGGGGGAAAATAACCCCGGGTTTTAGGAACTTCTTTCAAGACATTTTAGTTGGGGGAGGGGGAAATTTACAGGAAAAACCGGGGACAAAAAAATGATGGAAATATGTCCCCAAAAAAATCAAGGGGGAAAAGGAGAGGTTTTTTTTCCCAAGGGAAAAAAGAAAAAATTGGGGGGAACAAAAAGAGTCCTTGGTTCACCCCAAAAGGGGTTTGGGAGGCAAAAACTAGGTGTACTAGAGAAGGGAAAAGGGGACGAAACAGAGAAAATCAGGAAAATAAAGAGATTAACCCAAAAAGCCAGAAAGAATAAAAAACAATAAATAGGGGGGCCCCAGCGGGAATACCAAAATAACTTTTCCCCGAAAGTCAAGCCCGACCCAAAACTGTTTTTACACCCTCAGGAGGAAAAAAAAACCCTTTAAGGACCAGGTTAATCAACGAGGAAGGGGGATGGGGAATTCCCAAAAAAACGACCCGGGGGGTATGTCAGGACTCCCCAAAACGAGATTTAAAAAAGTAAATTTTCAGGGAAACCATAGGACTCCAGGGAAAACAGAGCAGGGGGGTGCCCCCACAAATGGGGGGATGAGGTAAAATAAAAACCAAGGAGGAGGTGAAAAAGGTTTGCTAAGCGAAATTTACACCTCAAAGGGGGGTGGAACCAGACAAAATCTCTCCGTGGGGCCCTTAAAAGAGGGGGCAGAGATATTTTGTGTACCATTTTAAAAAAATTTTTCAACACAAAATTTGAAACTGGACAACTCCCCGAGGGATGGAAAAAAAGGCAAATGTAGCCCCAATTTTTTAAAAAGGGGGAAAAGACATGAGGCACTAAACTACAAAAACCTTTTTTAACACTAAAAAGTTAAAAGTAAAGCAAAAGGCAGAAAGATCATCAGGGGAGAGGGTTGAGCACCTGGGAAAAAAACAAGGTATATTTGACAACCAGCATGGTTTTTAGGGAGGGGGAAAAACCTGTGTCACAAAACCCATAGAGTTTTTTGACAAGGTTTACAGAAGTTTAAACAAGAAAAGGGGGAGGGGGGGATCGACTGCATTTTTTTTTGGGCTGCAAAAAAGGCCCCTTTTACACATTTCCCACAAGAGGGAAATGCAAAAAACTAGAGGATCAGGCACACCCTAACAGGAAAAAGGGACTGCAATGGATCAAAGGGAAAACCTGACAGGGGGGCAAAAAACGAGTCATGGGGAAAGGGGCGAGGTTTTCAGAGTGGGGGCCTGTGACAAGCGGGGTTTTCCCCCAGGGGGCAAACCCCAAAAGGGCCTGTGCTTTTTCTTTGGGAAAATGTTTAATGACAAACAGAATGGGTAAACTCAGAATGCCCCTTTTTTTTCAGACGATGTGAAATTTTAAAAAGAAGAATCAAATCGATGAGGTCAGGCAGACTACCCAAAAAGACCTGGACCCGGCCCACCAAACCGGCCCGCAACTTGGGTCCCTTGGGTTTTAACCCCTGCCCAAAAGCAAAGTCATGAAGATTGGGGAAGGGCCCAAAAAAGACCCCCAGAACAATATAGTTTAGATGGCCAAAGTCCTCAAACCTCACTCAAGGAAAAAGTTTTGGGGGGGAGTATAACACCGAGCATATTTCCTTAGGCGCACATCAAAACAAAATTTAAATGCTGCAGCATACGGGGACCTGGGAAACCCACGGGTAGCGTTCAGATCCCATAAGGATTCGTTCAAGACCCGTATACCATTTTAAAGTCAGGGGCCCCTACTGGATATGCACACCATTTTGGAAACCACACCTAGGGCAAGCACGTCCAAAAAATTAAGAAAGTGGGAAAGGTTTTCAACAAGATATCCCCCGACTACGGGGGTTGTCCTAAAGAAGAAAAGGGTTTAGGGAAATCGGCCTGACGACACTGGAGGCCAGGGGGGTCAGAGGAACATATAACACATAAAAATACTGCGCGGAAAAGGACGAGGTGAAAAGACGGGATGTTTCCCGAGATGGGACACAGACACAAGAGGTCACAATTTGGGAAATTGAAGACTCAGATGAATCAAAGGGATGATAGGGAAATATTTTTTTCAGTCAAAGAGTGTCAAGCCCTGGGAAAACCCCAGAAAGTGAAGTAGTGGAGGCGGGGAAACCCTACATAAATTTTTAAAGGGGAGTATGAAAAAACTCATGGGGCAGGGGGAGAGAGGATCTAG